TGGGTAGGTAAAAGGGCAGGTAAAAGGAGTATATATGTTGTACTGAGAAAGGAAAAGGTTTAAGGTGACAGCAAGCATGTCAGTTATCGAAGAGGCATTCCATAGAGCACATAGGAAAGGGTGTGCTGCTTTAGAGTGAGATGTCAAGTAGGACGTGGATTGAGGGCAATAGGTGGGGGATGTTGGTTGTGGACATGTTGTAAAGGTGTCTACAAGGCATCCAGTATTAGATGTGAATAGATAGGTATGAGTTATGGGAGATGTGAGTCTGGAGGTCAGCAATGAGGTTAGGATTGGATAAATAAATCTAAGAATCATCATGGAAATGATAATTGAATCCAGAGGAGCTGATAAGATAACCAAGAGAAACAGTATATAGAGAGAAGGCCTAGTTAATAGATATGACCAGTTAGTAGGTATGACCTGGATGAAGATAACAATCAGACAAGAAAAGAACCAGGAAAGAGAAGTATCACAGTCTCTGGTGTCATACTTAACTCTTCACTTTCTCACTCCCCAAGTTGTTGCGAATTCCTGTTGTTTCTACCTTCTCTCTTCTGGCATTGCCACCATCCTGTGGTGCAGGCTCTTCTTACTTCAAGCCTGAACTGCAGTGGCTCCCTATTACCTCCAGAATAAAACATTAAATCCTGTTTGGATTTTAAAAAACCCTCATAATCTAGCTCCTTCTTAGTCTTCTTATTCCTTACTCCCCTCCACACAGTCTGTGACAATGGCCTCCTTGCTATTCCTCAGTTGTTGTCCATCAAGCTTACACTTCTTTTCATCCTCACCTGTCTCCTGGCTGCCCTGGCTTCTGCCAAATCTCAGCTAAAGCCCCACCTTCTATAAGAAGCCTTCCTGATGTCCTTTAATGCTAGAGTTTTCTCTCTATGATTGTTCAATTTATTACAGATACACAATTTATCTCGTTTGTACATAGCAGTTTGCATGTTATTAATCTGTGAGCTCCTTGACAGCAGGGAATATTTTGTTCTGTTTTGTTCTTTTTGTTTTGCCTTTCTGGGCAAATATCTCTACATATAAATAACTGGGGACACAAATGTCCCCAGAACTTAGCACAGTACCTAACATACAGTAAGCACTCAATAAACGCTTGTTGACCTGACTACCTCCACAGTCAAATACAGTAAATATGGTTCAGGGGGAAAAAAGGGCAGCTTTCTAGTACATTATAAGAAAGTCCAATTATGGAAACTAGCCAATTTTCTAATGCCCCTGTTTAGTGTAAATTAAAGCTATTTTTAATAATTTTTTTTAATTGAAGCCTGTTTAAACCTAATAAAAGTTTTAATTCTGAAAAATTTTTTTAAAAATTCTCTTCCCTATGCATAGGTAGATTCTGTTTGACATTTGCTTATGTCCTACTTTATACTTATGGGCCTTAACAATATCTACCTCAGCTGCCCTCTTGGTAACGGGTCAAAATTCAATTAAATTCAACATACATTTACTAATCATCTATCCACTCTGTGCCAATATAAAAAGATCAAAACAAAACATTTTCAACTTTCAGTGAGCTTATATGCTGGGGGTGGGAGGGGTTGGGAGAAACAATATATACACACAAAAGTAAATACAAATTATAAATTTCCCAAGGGGGTAGCACGTGAAGTAAGCTTTGAAAGAAGGAAAGGATTCTAACCGGCAAAAGCCAGTAAGTGCACTCCAAAGGTAGCAAATAGCAAGCAGATCATGGACTGGGCCAAGGATAGCAACAAAGTTTTCAAAAGAAGAATCAAACTATCAACAACTACAGTTAGTCCTCTGTATGTTTATAGAGGACTTGTTTAACTGGAGAGACTTCAAGCATTCTCGTGATTTTATTAGTAACCTTATTTTTACTTCCACATTAGCAACTATACACATTTGGCTATGCACAGTAGAGAAAAAATTGAGGGGCACGATATGTACAAGTTTGTGGAGCAGCTAGTATCCTACCAGGCACTTCATTGGTCCTGTTCACCTTCTGTTACAAAGAGCACCCTGTGTATTCATTGCATGTTTTCATTGTTTGTCTCAAGTTTTGTGTTACAATTATGCCACCAAACATAGTGCAAGTCCTTTGGGCTCTAAGCCCAAGTGTGCAAAGTCAGTGATGCAGTGATGCAGCTTAGTGAGAAAATAAAGGTGCCACAATGTCTGCAGCTGTTATGGTCCTAATTTTGGTGATTTCTTGTAATCACAAAAAGGGGGAAAGTACAGTATACAGTACAATGCTCTCACACTGCCATCTGACACTGTGGAAGGTAAGATTCAAGTTAAAAAAAGTTTTAGTTTCAAGAATTTTTAGTTTTAATAATTTTTTTGTATTTATGGTAGTATAGATTTCATGTGTTATAAAAAGTGAATATCATCTGAAATCAATCCTTTTTTTTGGTTTTTGTTTTATCGAGATGTTAGCACAAAAGGTCACAGAATTATAGGGAATTACTAGCAAGAAAAATGTTTTGCATGTTATCAATATTATTTTGTGTACTGCATTTTATGGGTTATTTCAAGGTTATTGTGTTAGGAAAAGTACATATCAGAATGTTTAATTATAAAAAACTGCATGTAAAAAGGTATATTTTCAGCAATCTCTAGTGAAAGATTATAGTTTTTGGTGGTCCCAAGAATGTCACCCCCTATTTTCCATATGTTTAATGTATCAACATTTGTGTTTTTTACTTTTGTGTTTTATAGAATTGTTACCCTTGTGAAAGTTGAGGACTGACTATAGATGAAAGATTATTCAAAATATTAGTAATAAGAAAAATGCAAATTAAAACAATTTAGGGGTCCAGCAAATTGGCAAGAATCACAAAAGATGGGGAAATAGTCAATGCTGGAGAGGTGGAAAGGCATACTAATACACTGCTGGTGGAGTTATGAATTGGTCCAGTTATTCTATAAAAGAGTTAGCATTATATATCAGTCAGCTGCTCATATCCTTTGATCCAGAGTTTCCACTACTGGGCATAAACCCAAAAGAGGTCCAAAAACATAGATACCACATAATACTAAAATATTCATGGCAGCTCATTTTGTGAAAGGAAAAAACTTTAAACAAGTAGGCATCCATAGTTTGGGGAACAGGTATACAAACTGTGGTCCATGAATATCATGCAATATTATTTATTATGCTGCAAGAAACAACAAATAAGAGGAATTCAGAGAAACACAAGAGCTGTATGAACAAAGTGAAGTGCAACCACAACATAAGCAATTTCTACAATGATATCATTGGAAAGACACCAAATGCTGGGTAATTTTAATGAACCATCCTGGTCATGAAAAAAATGAGGGAAAAAAAAATCATCCTTTCTATCAAGAGGTGGGAAATTACTCGTTCAAGATGTTGTACATGCTTTCAAGAGGACCCTGTGACCAGTTAGTTTTATTTAATTGTTTTCTTTGTTACAAGGAATGGTGTGAGGGTGGTACATATAACTGATAAAAACAAAACAAAATTAATTTATAAAACTTATTTAATAATTCCCCTTGTTTCACAAATTCAATTCAATAAGCATTTACTAAGTACCCAAGTGGAAGGTGTTGAACTGGATACTTGGGATATCAAAAAAAAAAAAAAAAAAAAAAATTCCTGCCCAAAAGAACTTATTGTCTGACTGATGAGAAATACGGAGCAGAGAAATTAGTAGACTTCTTAGGTGCTAACCTTTTCATGTGAATGTGCCAGAAGTTATCAAAAACTCAACATGTTCAAAATGAAACTCATTCCCTTTAAACGTACCTCCTTCAAACTTCCCTGTTTTTAAGAGCACAAACCATTCTAATAGTCATCCTCAACTCTTCTCCCCTAAATATCCAATTAGCTGTCAAGTCTTGTTGATTTATCTCCACATTTCTCACATCTACCTCCTTTTCTCCCCTCATATACCCAAGTACTCTCATTGAGACCCTTTGAACTTTTTTTGTGAACTATGGCAGTAGATTCCTAACTGATCCTTAATCTGACTCTGTCTTCAATCCATCAGTAGATTCCTAACTGATCCTTAATCTGACTCTGTCTTCAATCCATCCTTCACTGCTGCCAAAATAATCTTCCTAAGGTAACAGGTCAACGAAATCTCTGTCCTTAAAAACATCAGTAATTCTTTACTGCCTCTAACATAAAATACAAACTCCTTATCCTAGCATAAAAAGCCCTCCAGAGTTTGGTATCAACCTGTTTAAGGAGATATTTTAAAATACTTTTTGTAAAGAAGTTACACAGAACAGTGGATAAAGTTCTGGGCCTTAAGTCAGAAGACCTGACTCAAATATGTTCAAATATGGCCTCAGACACTTACCGGTAGCGAGATGTCACCTCAGTTTCTACATCTGTTAAATGGGGATAATAATAGCACCTGCCTCCCAGGGTCGCTGTGAGAATCAAATGAGATAATTGTAAAGCACTCAGCACAGTGCCTGGCACATAACAGTCGCTTAGTAAGTACTTGTTCACTTCTCCCCCGGTCAACCTGATGCTCCCACTACCTGGCCTCCCATTTCCCCTCCGCTGGCCTCCAATTTCCTGACTCACCCTCCTGCCTCACCCTACGGCCCCATTCCCTCCCTTAAAGTTCACCCACTGTGCCACCTCCTTCCTCCGTCAACCTTTCCCAGATGGCAGTGACTGCCTCCACACGCCTCAAATTACATTTAATTTACTTAAGATGCGTCTTGCAGTGGACAGTAAGCACCTTGGAAACAATGGGTGGTTTGGGGTGTTTTTTGTTTTAGTATTTTTTGCACGTGATAAATATTTGACGAATGCTCCCTGCAGCTGAACGGAAGCCAGTCTTCCTCCGGCCTCCGGTCCCTAGGGAGACCCGGAGGGGGAGGACGGCAGGCCGATCCAGCGGGTCACGGGCGCCCAACCAACCGAAGCTACGATCTCGAGACGACTCCGGCCTAACCGGGGGAGGGATCCCGGGTGCCCACCGGCTCCGGGAAAGTTGGGAATCGGGGACGCAGGAGGGGCAGCTACTTACGACAGAAGAGAAGGAGGGGAGGAGAAGCTTAAGGAGATTACACACAAACACAGAGCTAAGCACGACTAGCCACACGCATCCCTCGCTCTCCTCTAAAGTCATCTTCTCAAGACTCCCGGGGTCCTGCGGGGAAACCTGCCCAGGATCCCCCGCGCTGGGAGGCGCCTGCGCAATCGTGCTCCATGGTCCAGCGAGTCCAGCGCTGGAGAATTCCCTCTATACCCCCGCCCCCCACTTCCCGGCTTCTGACCGACTATGGGGCCTCCTTCCCTGGCACTGCGCATGCAGCGTAGACTTGCGCCGCTGGGGATCTAGCTGTCAGACCTTCTTTTCACTTCTTGGGGGGGGTGGGGTAAAGGTGAAAAGCAAACACTCATCTGTGTTCTTTCTTTGATTTTCCTTCCTCCACCTCTTCTAGTACAAGCTCAAATGGCAAGAAGCGTTCAAGCCTCATCATCCCTGGGAAAAAAGAAGCCACAAAAACTTAAGCTTTACGTCTAGCTCTAGGACCTGGCCAGGGGACAACGACTATTACGTAAAACGAGTCGGCGAATAGGGGTTGGGGCTTGAGCGTAAGAACACGGAACGAAGTAAAGGCACGTGGCTGACCTCGGCCAATGAGGGTGGAGACGGAGTCGGCAGCCCCGCTTCCCGCAAAGTGAGAGAAGGAGAAGCGGTTTGGGAGTCGGGGGCGGGTAGGTGGCCGGCCCCGCTTCCTCCTCCGGTCCCAGGCTCCGGAAGAGGAAAAATGAAGACCAGAAAGAATAGAAGCGGAGGGTGAAGGGGAGGAGCAAAGATTTCGAGTGACTGACTGTGCTTTCCGCCTATGCCGGATTGGTGTCGGCGTTTGAACGGCAGGAGGGGGACGGACCTAGCCAATTGGCTGTGGCGGAGAGTGGCCTGGGCCGGCGGGAAGAGGGAGATGGAGGAAGGGGGAGGAGGCGGGATTCCAATCCGGTTCCATCTAGTTCTGGGGCTGCTCCAGCTGCGGCTCCTAGCAGCCCAGCGGCGGGAGGAGGAGCGTCGAGGCCCAGGAACCCGGCTAGTCTAGAAGCTCTCGCGGCCGCGGCCTTTTCCCTCCGACCCCAGAGCCCTGTCGCTCCCGCCGGTGCTCGCCCGAGTCTGGGGAGAGGGAGCTGATCCCCACTCGCAGCCAAGATGCCCAAGAGGAAGGTGAGTGTGCGGTCATCCGGTCACTGCCGTGGCCCGCCCTAGTCGCGAGCGGACTTGACACGCGTGACCGGCTCCGTCTGCGGCTCCTGGGGAGCCCGAGGCGTCCGCTGCCCCAGGCCCCGCTCCCGAGGGCCCCGCTCCCGAAGGCCGGCTGCGGGCAAAAGTCAAGTCGCGCCTCCTGTGTGGGAGGCTCCCTGCTAAGTGTTCGGGACACAAATGCAGCGAAATCGGGGTCCTCGCGTCCCGGGAACTCACAGTGCTAATGGAGGAGACGGCACACAAACATAAGTGCAATCAAGTTAGAGGTAAAGGCCTTGTCACCCTTCCTCTTACGGACGACCTGGAGACCTCGCTTATCGTGGCATTCTTGCAGGGAGAATGAAATTCCTCTGCCAACCACACACCTTCCTCCATTTTTTCTCGAACTTTGCAATCCCAACTGTTTACCAAAATTTGCTTTTCCCTCGAATAGAGTTAACCGGTTGGCAGCAGCAGCTACTCCCTGTATTAGTAGGAAGGAGACCAGGTTTGGGAAATATGGAGATCCTTCTAAAGACTTGCCTGATGGGGAAGAGTTGGAGTGGTTATTGTGTGTTTTTGTTTTGATTTATCAGTATCTCCTCTTTCCTCGAACTCTACTATAATGACATCTACCTCCTGCGATTGGCCTTCTCGAAATTTCTGTTTCAGTTGGGGTGAAGTTCAAAATTTGAATATTTCTATTAAATCTTATTCTGAAGTCTCTGAAGACAGATTTTTCCCTAGGGCAAAAAGCCTCCCTAATTTGGGACGTTGTTCTGGGAAACTCTGGGATCTGGGTTCATTTGATGCTTTTAGTATTATTAACTTTTGAATATCTTTGACTAGGTCAACTCCGCAGAAGGGGACCTAAAGGAGGAGGTAAGGACTTTTTAATTTCAAGAAATGTGGATCTTGGGGAATGAAGCATCATTAAGTTACATGCATATCTTAAATAACTTTGCTTTTGTTTTTTTAAGCCCAAAAGGAGGTCGGCAAGATTGTCAGCTGTAAGTAAAGTCAACTTTACTCATTCTTGTTTTCTGTTACATATCAGACAATGAAATACTTACAGATACTTTTGTCTTCCAGAAACCAGTCCTTGCAAAGGTTGAACCTAAGCCCAAAAAGACAGGTGGAAAGGTAAGATTTTTGTACCTGAAAAGAACCTAGAAATTGTTGGATAGTATTTAAATTATGAATTTGAATTCATCTTTGCTGCTTCTCTTCCCGCTCCCATTCAACCAAATCTCATGTTTATGGTTCAGTGTCTGTTGGAAAAGCAGATTCTTTTATTCTCCTTTTTGTCAATAATCAAGAGTAGTGTAATCAGAATATGCTTTTTACTCAGAAGTGCTTTTGAGGTAGACACCTAACATTGAGTTCTCTGTACCAGTTTTTTGAAAAGTCTTTAATTTTGCTAAACTCTTGAACACTTAATCAATTTACTAAAGATACTCTCTTGCTGAGCTTCATTTTGAGAAGCTCTCCAAAATCAGAAGGGAAAATTCACATGTCCACTCAAAGCATACAGCAAAAAATACTACTAAGAAAGTTCAAATATATTACATCAATTTTCAGAAGAACCCAAATATATTTTCTTGGAAGAGGGAATCATTAAATTTGCATCTGATGTAAATTGTTGGATGAAGTTATAACTATTAGATGTCTGATTTTGGTTGCTCATCAAAGACAAAAATGAAATCATAGTTCTTTAATAATCTATATCAGAATTTAACAACTAACTTGTTTGATTCTAAGTCAGGTTAGAGAGTTAATAATTCCTCAACTGTTTTTAAATATATATGTCAGGTGGTTGATTTTTAAGGTTTTTTTGTTTTTGGTAGTATTTTCTGGTTATGCGCAAGTTAGACTATAAATTACCATTGGTTTTTCACTTTTATTTACCAACATATCGTTGACCTATTTTTAATAAAAATAGTTTTTTAAGACTCCAATTTTTCTTTTGTACTTTTGAAATTTGGGTAAATTGGACTTTATATAAAATTCTTAAAATTTTATTTTGTTAAAAATACTTTGCTTGAGATCTTAAACAGCTCAAGAAAGGTATAAGCATAATAAACCATAAAAGCTTTTAATGCTACAGGAGAATAACATATTGAGAGTTAGAATAACATTAGAATAATTTTATTCTAGTAGCCTTATTTCAGTTATAACCAGCTGTAATGTCAGTTGCGATCTTAGAAATGCAAGTAAATTTTCCTGGGATGTTGACATGAATAGTGTTTAATTTTTTTCCACATGTTTTATTCTCTTTTCTCATTAAAAGTATTATTTTGATATTAGTTTTTTGACAGTAGTCACCACTTTGCTTTTAGAAATACAGATGGTTGGGTCATCGTTCAAATTTTCTTTGAGAAAACAATGCCAGCTTTATTTAAAATGTTTCTGTTTTATCCACAAAAGCCAGTGATTAGTTGGGGTGCTTTAAAATTTGCTTTATTCTCTTCTTTCTAATTTATGCCACAGTCTTCATACTAGTTAGACTTTAACAGACCTGTATTATCAAAATGCAGTTACTTTATGTGAGAAGCAACATGGTAGTATGGGTTGAAGTGCTGTGCTTAGGAGGAACTTGTTCAAATACTCTTAACCTCTCTGAACCTCATTTTCCTCATCAGTGAAAAGGGGATAAATACCTGTAGCACCTTCTTACCAGGGCTACTATGAGGCTCAAGTGAGGTAATGTATATAAAGCACTTTGCACACCTTAAAGTCATACATAAAGATCATCCATACATTCCATAAGTTCTGTTTTATGTAATACTCATTCATCAGTCTCTAGATGCATCCGAGTGTATGTATCTTGTGTGGGTCTAGCCTTGTAGAGCTACTTAAGAAGAATGAATTATACTTTTAATTTTTAAATTACACATTATCAGTATTCAATAAATTTAATTTACTTCAGTTTAATATGGCTTCCAAGTCTTATGGCCTAAGCAGTGTTTTTGAACAATCTTATGTCTTTAATGGCTCAGTGGAT